CATACTTACCATTTCTATATTGTTTAATGAAAAACATTGCAGATTTATTTAAATCATATTCACCATATTTTTGTAATTGAGAAAGTGAATGCATTTAAAATTTGGTGATATAGAGCCTTAAAAATTAATTGTCTTTAGAAGGCTGTAAAAAAAACACGACAAAAAAATATGACACGAATGTGGTTATAAAGATTTGAAGAAAACTGGATAAAACGACTTAATACGGATCTCATTTTAATAAATGCCGGTAAGTAAAAGGTTATTACAAATCTTTAATTGGCTAAAATATATCGTTTGGCAATGTTTAAAAATATGCTATTTAATATTTGTTAACGTTAAATAAAAATATTTTAATTTTAAAAAAGGCTTATCATTTAGATTCGAAAAAAACCAGATTGACAGGAAAAAAATTAATAACCACGCTAACATATTTTTTGAACGAGAATGTTGCTATAAAATTTCTATATAAATTATTAATATTACTGTAATGTTATTTTTGTATAAAAAAAATATATATATTAAATTTAGAAATAACGTACGTACAACTTTATTATTTGATAACTTTAGATTTTTTATAAATTACTCTTACGTGTAATTTTTATATATATACGTATCAGAAATGAAATTTCATCCAGTTGCCACTTTTAATACCAGATACAGTAATATGGATACGTATTACGGGCATCTATGCGATGTTTGCTACCAATCAAGTGCCTGTTTGCTATCTTGCAGATCCACATTTGATATATATAAACGTTAATCAGCATCTTTTTAACACAAATTAACGTTAATATGATATCACCATCATTATTCACAATTCGTCCAAGTTTCGTTTTTGATAAAGCTATAAATTGGTTTCCAGGCCATATGGCTAAAGGATTAAGAGTAATTTCTGAAAGATTATCGAGTGTAGATGTAGTTGTTGAAGTAAGGGATGCTAGGATATCCTTTAAATTTTTAATATACTAGTAATATATATATATCGATATAATTCGATTAATTAATTCATAATTCTCTTACGAATTATCAGATTAAAGCCTTAACATAGAAACAAATTCTAAACCTCAATACATTCCTTTATCTTCTATAAATAATAAATTTGAAGATATAGCAAAGTTAAAAGATCGAATTATAGTTTATAATAAAGCGGATTTGGCTGATGAATGTCCACAAGTGGTAATTTTATATATATTCTATTTTATTATAAATAAATACTAAAATGAGATTTTTATGATTTTTTTTTTTTTTTTTTTTTCAAATGATTTTTTTACAAAGGCAATAACAGATGCGTTTAGAGAATATCGTAAACAGCGCGTAATTTTTACAGATGCCAACACGGATAAGAATGTTAAGATGATAATCAACTTTGCAGCAAGTATTGTATTTATAAAATTGATATTTCATTATTATCATAATTATTTAAACATTTAGATAACATTTATAACACTTGTAAATTTTTGTGAATTGAAAATATTTTATTATTAGATAAAGCAATAAAAGAACCAGAAAAATATCCATATGTCACTGTTATGGTGGTTGGGATGCCAAACGTTGGAAAATCATCTTTAATTAATTCTATGAGAAGACTTGGTATACATAAAGGTAATTAATTAGTTTCTTTTTAAATTTAATTTAATCGACTAAAAATGGTTAATATTTTTTATATTAGGAAAGGCAGTAAAGACTGGTGCTTTACCGGGTGTGACAAGATCCGTTTCCGCTACGTCAATTAAAGTATCGGAAGACCCAACTGTTTATTTGATTGATACCCCCGGTATACTTTAAATCCAACGCTTATTCTCATTATTATTTAATTTGGATTTAACTGATTATGATAATTAATCTGTAGGTGTTATGATACCTCATATTACTGATCCTGTAGCTTCCCTAAAAGTCGCATTGACAGGTATGGTTTTTAATTTTAAATCTTTAATTTGATCATCGTTTATTATAGCTTTGTTTTCTTGTTAGGTGGCATCAGAGACCATTTATCAGATGAAGAAGTTATGGCAGACTATTTACTTTGGAGATTAAATAATTTTGGAAACTTTAGGTATTTACATCATAATGTTGATTTCGTTTGTACAAAGTTTATTAATTTATTAAGCAGGTCAAATATATTATATTTAAATTAAAAGTTACGTTGAAAAATTCAAACTTTCACACCCGACAGACTCGATTGAAGTTCTACTTCCAGAAATTTCGAAACGTATTGGTGCATTACAAAAATATGGTGAATATGATTTAAATAAATCTGCAATGTTTTTCATTAAACAATATAGAAATGGTAAGTATG